AATCTTAAATACTTTTTCATAAAAATTTGGGGAATTCTAGGTGACACATTGCCTTTCTGAGAGTGTTCCAGTAAAACTGCAGCTGACTATAAAAATGTGCATACCAGTTTATTATGGTCACAGTTAAATTAGACCATCTCATCAACACCCCTGCTACATACTAACCATAAAGTCTGCCTGGGTCTTTGGCAAGGGCATTAAATTTCTGTCATAAATGTATGAATTCCCTGGTCCTGTGCCCTTATCCATCTTCTCTCCTTTTCCTTCATACTGTGCTACACCTTGTTTGGGTTTTTCTGTCCTGGAACACAAAGACTGGCCAAATTTAGGTGCCGCATGTACAAGATAATCCTGGATTTCAGTCCAGCAGTTATGGCCATTTTGAGAAGATTGAGTGCAGAATAAGGCCCAAAATAAAACATATGCAAGCGAGGGAAGGAGGGTGATGGAGAAACAATAATTAGCTTTGCTTCACTGGTGAACAAATAAAAACATGCTGTTCTGGCAAAATCCAAAGGCAGAAATTAGAACAGCATTGTCTTGAAGGCCAAAAGAAATCCAAACCAACACTCTAAAATGACAAGTTCCACTAAGGATATTGCTAGAAGTTAAAACAAAACCTAGATTCTTCAAAACTACAGAAGGTACAAGCAGGGAAGCTGAGGTTTAAGAGACACAAACACCTTCACAAAACGACAAGGCAGAATGAAACATTGGGATGAGAAAATGACTATCAGACAAGTCATTTAATGACTTAATATATAAAATATTACAAAGGTTTGCACATTAACAATTTGAAATTGCATTTAATACAATCACAAGCCCCTGATCTGTTGTTAGGCACACAATAAACATGTTGAAATTGGTGATCAGATGCAACCTAAGTCTAAAATTGATCTTTTTGGCCTACATGATGTGTGACTGCAAACTAGCATGCACAGGTACATCACCCTAAACACACCAATCCACTGTGAAATGTGGTGGTGGCAGCATCATGCTCTGGGGTGACTTTTATTCGGGAGGGGCAGGGAAGCTTGTCAGACCTGGTGTGAAGATGAATCGAGCTTAATACAGGAAAATCCTGGAAGAAAACCTGTTTTAAGCTGCAGTAGACTTGAGACTGAGGTCAAGGGTCACCTTCCAGCAGGAGAACAAACCCCAGATATCCAGCCAGAGCTACGATGGAATGGTTTCGATCAAACATTATTCACAGCCAATCGGAGTCCAGACCTAAATCTAATTGAGGATCCATGGTAAGACTTGAATAATTATGGTCACAGATGCCCACCATTCAATCTAACTAGGTGGTTCTGCAAAGTTTTGACTCTGGTGTTCTAACTATACAGGCCACACTTTTCAGTTTTTTATACCTAAACAAAGTTTTAAAAAGCATTTTCCTTCAATTTGACATTTATATGGCGCTTTGTATTGATCTATCACCTAAAATCCCAGTAAAGAACATTGAATTCTGTGGCTGTACTAAAATAAAATAAAGAAATGTTATAAAGAATAATAAATATGAATATGTGTGCATGGCATTTTATCTTCTGAATACTTTGAAATTTAAGTTTTATTAGTTTACAACTATTACTTATACTAATGAGGCCTTAAAATATCCAACACTAATTCATAACGACACTGACCATTGTGATAAACACTTATGAGCGAGAAAGGGAGAGATAGTAAATAACTGGCAGGTAGGTGGCAGACATGTTAGTTGTGCGACTAAATGTGTTTGTGCTGCTAACACTGAAAGTCTCTCTTTATTATATAGAGATTTTTTACCCCACTTTCTTCTGTCTCACACCCAGAGATAACTGCACACGCAGCATTCTGTCACATGTGACAAACATGAGGCACATGTGTACATGACTATCTGTGTCTCTATGCGTGCATGTCTACCTGTCTGGCTGATTTTGGATCACTGAGAGAATTAGTATTAGGTTGCCTTATTCACACACCAGGCTTATGTAAAGCACTACCACTATATGGCACTTGAGTGTGAACAGGCAGACTGCAGTGCTAGCACACCAAGCTGGCACCTCTTCCTGGACTGACTCCAGTAACTGACTGTGGTGATGACAATGATGATTCATGGCGACAAAGTAACTGGCTGATTGAGATTCTTACTAGAGGATTTCGTCTGAGTATGTAACCACACCTTACTGTTTCAGTTTGTTTATAATTTACAGACGTGAATTATATTACAATGCAGAAAATGAGCTAACAGTCTCTCAGTACCATAATTACAAGATTTTCCAAGCAGGTAATTTGAGTTTGAGACCCACAGTAAAATGAAATCACTTGGTTGGGCTGAAAACAGTTGATCTACTGCAATTATGTGACATAGAACTTAGAGTTAACAATTTTGGTGTTAACATTTGTTGCCTATAGATTACTATACACATATAACTATGTATGCATGCCACAGATCACAGCTAAATGTGTTAAGGCCTCACAACCAGTTGTGTCAATTTTTCTCCCTTTTGGAATCCTATTTTCCACTGACTGAGGATGACCAAAGAGGATGCGTTATAAAGCAGATAATGTTCTGTTATAGGATATTCATAGTTTTCAGTTACGTGTCCGATTTGCTACCCTGGAGGGCAAAACAATTGCATTTGCTTGGCAGTCAATAGTGGAGAGTAAGTACCACAGCAAGAAATATGTGTAATTTTTCCTTCTGTATTAGGCCAAGAATACTTTGATCGCCTATCTACGGAAGAAAAATGAAGATATCAGAACTGCAAATTTTGGGGACATTCCTGAAGGTGACATCTTTCTCAGAGCTCCAGTTTGTGGACATGTACTGTATCTTGTAGAGAATCAACCACCTTAAACCCAGCCAGGATCAAAGTATAGACAGCTACATGTAAATGCAATCTGGATGGGAAAATAATGCCACTGTATGAGAGTTGGAGAACAAAATAATGTTCATAATAGCTAGATTAAATGAACTACAACAGGTAAGTCTTAAGTTCTGTTGACTAGGGCAATTACAGTAGCGTTAAACTGGAAGTGTTGAAACAGTAAAGTTCACAGAGTATTTTTTTAATCATTGTCATATAACCCATTCCCTCAGATTTCACTAGCCTCCACTGACAAGCTGGATTGCAATGTATAAGTAGCTTTAGCATTATTGTATTTAGCCATTAAAACAAAAACATATAATTTTATTAAAGAAAAAAAAAAAGTATCTTACCTAATCGAATTTTAACTGCTGCCCTGTTTTGCCCTACCTGGATAGGGAAGAACATCAACAATCTTTCTCTTATTTTTTTTTTTTGTCTTTTTCCAAAGGAATCAGGTAAAAGCTCACACCTGGCTTTCCTCTGTGTTGATCAGCACAGCAATTTTTCAGAATTTTGACTAAGCTAAACTAGAACAAGTTCACAGGATGGCTGGACAGCAGCAGTATTTTGCCCTTCAAGTGGGCATTTCCCTGTAGCTCTGACATAATATAAAAACTATGAATAAAAGTGGGAAAAGAGGTGTTTGTTCTTTATAATACACTCAAGATAAAAAATAGTCAATATACAAATAATGTTTTTTTCTTTGCTGACTCCAAATTTGAAAGTAGTTGGATTTAGATGATCAGAAAACCTTCATATCACTGTCTTATCAAGAGTGAAATTTTAATGGGAAGTTACTTATTATATACACTCACCGGACAGTTTATTGCCACTACTGTTTGGTCCTCTACTGTTGCCTTCAGAACTGCATTAATAAATCAGGGCACTGATTCAACAAGTTGACAGAAACATTCCTTTGTGATTTTGGTCCATACTGACATAATACCATCACTCAATTGCTGCAAATATGTCGGTTTGCCATCCATGATGCAAATCTCATATTTCCCCACATCCCAAATCTCTGTGTTGACTTTAGATGTGGTGACTGTGACCTCTTACAGATTTTCTTCGAGGATCGCCCTGCTTTCAACCTTTAACAAGCTTCTCTATTGCTGCTGAAGTAAAGCATCACCATCACACGATGCTGCCACCACATTTGTGGGGATGATGTGTTCAGGGTAATGTGCAGTGTTAATTTTCAGCAGAACTTAGCATTTTGAATGTAGGCCAGAAAGTTTCATTTTGGTTTCATCTGATAAGAGCACCTTCTTTCACATGTTAGCTGTGTCTCCTACATGGCTACCACAAATATTTTGTGGAAAGATTCTCCCCGCTCAGCTGTGGATCTGTTTAACAGTCTCTTCGTCATCTCTTGGCAAGTCTGCAGTTGTGTCATTCTTTATCCATTTTTAGATGATAGGGGAGGATCAAATCCTGGGTTGTTGTTTTATGACAGGTCTGCCCAAGTCTAGTTCTCGAGAGCAACTCTTAGATGCATCAGTTCTCCAGCACACCTGAATCAAATTGCTGAATTCCCTCTCCATTGTCACTCAACTCTCACATCTTCTGCAGAGGCTTGGTAATGAGCCTTCCATTTGACTCAGACATTTTGGAGAAGGGATGCATCTTAAAGTTGATGGCTGGGCTTGGGTACCAGTTTTATAACTTAAATACAAATGCACGTTTCAGACTTTATTAGTAAAACATTCTGAAAGTCTTGTATCTTTTTCTTTTTGTTTCACACTTCTGTGCCATTTTTTGTTAGTCCATTAAAATCCTAGAAAAATACATTAAGGTTTGTGGTTGCAATGTGACAAAATGTGGAAATATTCTAGGGGTATAAATATTTTGTCCTCTATTGTAAAAACTAGCACACACATCTTAAAGGTCCAGTTCCCCTCTAAGACCTTGCGCAAACACCAACAGTAAACAAAGCCTGACTGGCTTGACACACAATTTGACTAAGTCCTCATCTAACTGCATCGCTGAAGAGTATTTTTTTTTAACATAAATGCACATAATACTGGATACTGAAACTATTAAGGCACATCAGATTGTGCAGATCACACCCACTTGCTGCAATCATTCATGTTAATGGCATTGTGCAACATACAAAATAAAAAAAAATCATATTAGATGACGGTTTGATGCATGGTGGCGCAGTTGGTAGCGCTGTTGGCTTGCAGCCAGAAGGTCCACAGTTTGACTCCTGGTCGGGTGTCTTTCTGCATGGAGTTTGCATGTTCTCCCGATGCATGCATGGGCTCTCTCCGGGTACTCCGGCTTCCTCCCACAGTTCAAAAACATGACTGTTAGGTTAATTAGTTTCTCTAAATTACCCTTAGGCGTGAATGAGTGTGTGGTTGTTTGTCGTGTGTTTCTGTGTTGCCCTGCGATGGACTGGCAACCTGTCCAGGGTGTACCCCGCCTCCCGCCCATAGACTGCTGGAGATAGGCACCAGCTTCCCCGCAACCCACTATGGAAGAAGCGGTATAGAAAAGGACTGACTGGCCGACCTTTGCAACCAGTAATATTTTCAAACAGCTAAATTGGTCAGCATCGGAAGAATGCTGTGGCCTTCTTTCAGCCAGCTGATCAACAGTGTGCATTAGCAGGTGAGGGAGGAACAGCAGTGTATTAGCTGAGGCTTTGTACAGTCAAAGAAATATCTAGTCGCTCCAGCGTTTTTCTCGGTATCTCATTAAAAAGAACTTACTTTTATTGTAAAACGTAGTAACAGTGTGATGCTACATTTTGTGATTTTGAAACAGCAACTTTTTAAAACCCCAGCTATGGAAGAAGCGGTAGAAAATGACTGACATATTAGAAAAATGGCTGCCAGCACAAAACGGAAAGCATGGAACAATCATTTAGAATCTCCAGAAACATTCCTTCATGAAGCTCCAACCGGCAGCACTCCACGAATCCCAGCCTCATCCTGAATGCATGAGGTATCTAAATGTATGTGCAGACACTGGAGCAAGTGGACTCCACAAAGGGAAATCGATATCCAACCCCCACCCCTCAATATGTAAATGAGATGTGACTGAAGCCAGCATGCTCTGAGTAAGAAATCCATCTTGTATGAGCTTACTAAATATCCATTCAGTGGGAGAAATTTTACCTTCGAGGCAATACATTACAGGCTCTCCTACCTGATTTTGGCTTACAATGGAGAATTGTATCTAGAATTCCTATTTTATATCAAAATAAAGTCAATTATTTTGCCAAAATAAGGATATATATTACAGTCATTTAAAATGGAAGTCAATAGGAAATATATATCAAAAGCAGACATGCAGATTATTGGGATTTAACATATGTGATCAATCAGAGTGGGGTACGCCAATATGACTCAGCATCAGTTTTTCCAGCTATGTCTCCCTGTGTCATTAGGAGGAAAAACATAGCAGTCAACTGTATTTCAGCACTTGTTTTTAAATTACCTTATAGATACTGTACTGTATTTTTCTGTAATGTGCAAAATAATCTCTGGAGCCTGATAGTCATTCAGTGCCAGGACACCCAGCCAAGTTCCTGCAGGGACCGCAGCCTTTCCGAAGCCCAATGCAGACATTCTTATCATTTCAGACCAGTGCGTATAATTGGACCAATAAGACACAGGACAATTAGGTCAATCAGCAGGTCTCACCCACATCAGAATCTAGGTTTCTAGATCTGTTGCTCAGCTGTGATTTCACATCAGATTAAACCCGCAGAATAGCCCGTTTGAAAACAGGGTGGTACCACAGAACCAACACATACACACACACACTAACAAGAACCGAGACCCAGTTTTGTTGTCCACGAACAATGCCTCGGTTTTCCCACCTCATCATAGATGTCCAGCTCCTTAAAATATTCTTTTACTGCCCGGTGGTAAGGTTACCTCTGACTGTCAATGTCACCGGATTTTAAATGAGTTATGAATTGTGTTTTCCGCTGTATTGTAACGCAGGCAGTGTTAAAGAGAAGAGTGAATTCTTTACCTGTTCGGTGCAGCGTCTTCCAGTAAAACACCGGGTCTGTCGGACAGAGGCGCCGCAGCCTTTCAGTTACCGTAATACCGGAACAATACGTGCCGGTAGACCGCCTTCTGGTCTATATCGGTTATTACGGTGTTCTGGAGGAGACTTTTGCTAGAAATTACCCTAGAGGTTCAATAAAAAAATATCAGAACATTTTAATTTTCGGAGATATGAGAAAAAACGTTGAAGGTGTAGAGTAAATTATGAAATTAAATGTAGATTAGTGCTGCTAAGAATCACTGATGGCTTTTTCAACTCAATGCAAAAATCTAATGTGACGCAATGTGCTGACTAGTCACCTTCATCATTTCGGTGGCCATAAAAGTGGCACTTCCTGTTTCAACAGGTGCGTCATATTCATAGCCTCGCTGTTAGTGAATGAATGGAAACTGCAATATATTTAGGCCTACTTAACCTTTCTTTAAAAACAGATAATGATGGTGATAAGGCTTATATAGTAATTGATAAATATCAGTAAATAACATGTTAAATTATGAATAAATACCCTGATCAAATAAATGCCAAAGTGAATGCTATGTCGCGATTTTGGTATTAATGCAATCCATTTAAGATGTAGTAGCTACTCACAGCTTAGTATAGCTGGAAGTTTGTTCTTTGTTACATCTTTCCCTTTGTTTAAAGCATGACAAAGATGGTTTATTGACAAAACATTTGAATGTAAATGATAATATTCCTGGTCCCGTAGGAATATTTTTTGTTAAGCTGGAAATTTTTTAATTGATTAAAAACAGCTATACATGATGATTTTACAGGTAATACAAAAATATATTTTGATTAAGCTAATTTATCTGATGTGATGCAAGTCATTGGCAATAGTAGCTACATGTTCATACTTTGATATAATGGCGCCCCCTCGTGTGCACCTGCAATAATTACATAAATATAGAAAATTGAGCCCATTTTTATACTAAATACGTTAGTTGAGCCTTTCTGCATCAATAATTAAAGACGTTTATTTTTTATGTTCTGATATATTTTAGTTAGATCAAATACAATAAATATATACACTAAGATAAAGTGCATGTTGTTGCCGATTTGTTCACTGATTTTCCAAGCTGTATGTCCATCCTTGTAGCCATCAGTGGTTCTTTTTGCTTTCACATTAAAACAACCCAGTGCTTTGGTCAATAAAAGAAAAACAAGGTGGACGTCAAACTGAAGATGTGACTTTTATCTTCTTAACTTTTCATCACAAGACATGATCTATCAATCTTAACTCCTAACAAGAGCGAGAACTACTAAATGAAACTAACAGAAGGATCAATTAATATGTAAATGTACTGACTTGATAGGAGTATTTTAAGCACATGTTCTCAGTAGATCATCATGAAGCACAAAAGAGGATATCACTTGTAAACAAAGGGTTTGTACCTGAAGTTTTATCAGATTTACGTTCACAAACCTGGAATCTGCCAGTTGCGTATTATAATAAAATGTATTTGATTAAACTGAGTTTCTAACTTTTGAGGTCATGTACCAAGTCTTTGGTATGAAGTTAGATACATAAATTCATTAAAATTAGAGGCGTGACCTCAGTTGCCATCTGCACATCTGGCCTCTCACTGGTTGTGAAGGAAATTAAAGAAGGACATTATGCATTCAAGAGCAAAGCACAAGCTGTTTCACTCCATCTCTGGCCCGAAGAGCAGTGACTTTGAAATGTTTTAGTTACATCTTATCACTGACATGATTTGACAGTATTTGATGCAAGTATTAACTTTTATACATAAAATAAAAAGGTTGCTGACTTTACCATTTATTGGAAGCATACTTAATAATATAACAAACAAATCAGACCTTTGAAAAGACTAGATGTTTTATTTAATGTGTCACTTCTTACATAGAAATGCACTAGTTTGAGATGTAGTGTAAGGAGAGCCATATTCTACTTTTCTTATAATTGTGGACTCTTTCCCAAATTTAAATATATGCTAAAATGAAGCACTTTTTTGCTTTACATTTTAGCTGATGTTAAAAAATAGCACAGTGAAATGTGGATATTTAGATCTACTCATTACAGGATGTCTACACATTTTTCATTTCAATATTCCCTTCTTTAAGAGGTACATATTTTCAGATTATCGAGTCTTTTTAAATATAAAAGTTCAAGGAAGGATGGATGGATGGGTGGACGATTCTTTATAAAGAACACAAAAGCAGTCTGATTAAAGTGACAAACTGAGATATTTAACATGTAGACAGCTGGCAGGGAATAAGTACGGTATATATATTATTTTTCCATACTCCATTTTCTTTTTCCATACCTAACTAGGACCTTGAAAATGCTTAAGTCAAATTCCATGCTATTTCCAGACCACTATTAACACAAATGAGATTATTTCATTATTGCTCCGGCATTTAAACAAGCTGCATCTCCTGTGCTTATAAATGCATGAGTAATCTCTGAAACCTGAAAGAAATAATCAATCGTGCACATGAATCACGTGGTGAAGCATTAAAACCACAATGTTTGCCAATGACGACATTTACTGTTTTCATTAAAAAATAAGACAGCACATATGAAAATCAAAACATATAAAAACAATCAAAGATTATATAAATAAATGTGTCTACTTAGGTCTTTACATCTGTACATTTTTGTGAGACAACTTTGAGAATAAATAGCGTGTGACAACTGTAAACTAAATACAAATCAGATATTGCTGCTCTATATTACATTACAGACAGCCTCGCATTTACATTAAAAACCGAGCCAAGAGTCACAGTGGTCAATTAAGACAACTGTGACACACCTCACAATACAAAATAATTACATTTGCATCGAAGTATTGAGTTTATCACATTAAATAAAACATTTTCATTGACTGTATGCAGTACCCCAGTGAAGGTTTCCTGTGGACTTCTTTTGGCTCGTGGTCCCTGATGTGGGGAAAGCTGGAAAACAAAGCATATACTTAATAACTGAACTGGTCAATATAAAGCATTGATTTAAAGTTTCAATCACTTATCCTTTTCTAGACTTAAATTACATAATTTAGAACCAATTATAATATAAATGTCAAGTATAATTGCTGAGATATTAAGACACAAATATAATACTTAAAGTTTGATTAAGTACAAATGAACAATAACCTAAAATGCCACCTCCCTTACCTATAGAGGTAACCTCAGCTGCCACTCGACACGCAGCTCTTATTTTGTCCTGAAGAGGGCAGCGTAG